TTGAGGCTTGAGCGTTTTCACAGGGCAAGACTTTGTACGTTTGCATAGGGCAAGGCTTTTAGTTGCTTGCATGGGGCATGCTTCAAGTTGCTTGTACGGGAAGGCTTTTATGATGCTTGCACGGGGCAAGACTTTGTGGTATATTTGATTATCATCGAAGTTAACTTTAACTATTATATACTCTATAAATTAACTTGGCGCGCATGCCTGATAAATGATAAAAATTGACTTGGCGCGTAGGCTTGACAGATGATGAAGTTGACTTGGCACGCAGTCCTGATTTCTAAAACATGGTGGGGCAAGTTATTTGTAATATATTTTTAAGTTCTCGACATTCCAAGGTCTTGGAAGTGGTCTTTCCATAGTACCCCTTAAGCTGTATGCACCTCCTGGGAGTTGGCGTATGACCTCGAAGGGTCCTTCCCAAGCTGGCCCAAGTTTGCCTAGAGCATGTCCTGTAGCTTTAGCCCTTCTTAACACAAAATCTCTAGCTTTGAATCTTTGCGACTTTACCATTCTATTGAAGTACTTTGCTATTCTGTTCTGGTAAGTGGCCATTCTTAAGGCTGCTTGACCACGAACTTTCTCCAATAGGTCGAGATGTTCAGTGATGCGTCCTTCCTCTTCGGGCTCAAGCCTTCTTTGGCTAGGTAACTTGATTTCAACTCGGATCATAGCTTCAACACTAAAGGCTAACATGAAGGGGGTATTTCCCATAGTGGCCTTGTGGGATATTGTGTAGGTCCGAAGTATAGAAGGCAATTCGTCGGACCAAGAACCTCTTGTATCTCCAATCTTTGTTCGGAGGTCCTGTAATATAATCCGATTTGTGACTTCGGCTAGATCATTACTGAGGATGGGAAACTGAAGTCAGACGGTGGTCGATCCCTAAGTTGGAGTAGAAATCTTTGAATTGTGAATTGTCAAACAGTCAGCCGTTGTCGGTTATTAGGACCTTCGGTATCCCGAATCTACATATGATGGATCTCCAAACGAAAGTTCTAACTTAGGCTCTGAGATCGTTGCCAAGGGTTCGACCTCCACCCACTTGGTAAAGTACTCAACTGCTATAGCTACGAACTTCAATTTTTCCCTAGTTATTGGAAACATACCGAGGATGTCAATTTTCCATTGCTTAAACGGAGCCGAGCAACTGATGTTAATGAGGTCCTCTGTGAGGGAATGGATAACATTGCCAAACCTCTAGCACTTGTCACACTTCTTTACATATTCTATGGCATCCTTCTTCATGGTAGGCCAGTAATATCCGTATCTTATGAGCTTAAAGGCTAATGCCCGAGCTCTTTAATAGTTCCCACATATCCCTTCATGAACCTCCTCCTGGGTTTGGGAGGATTCCGAAGGCTTAAGGCACCTAAGGTATAGAAGTATGAGGCTTCTGCAAAATAAGACCCCATCAATAATGCAATACCTTAGAGCTTTCGACCGGATGCTCCTTACTGCTCGAGCTTCTAGAAGATTGCCGCTTGTTATGAAGTCCACAATTGGGTCCATCCACGATGGCTCATGATCAATGTCCATAACACCAACGGTCGGATTGATGCTAGGCTCAGTTATAATTTTGACATGTATTGTCTTGTTAAGTCCATCTATTCCCATGAACACCAACCTTGATAAGGCATCAACCTTGCAGTTGTCAACCCAGTCAATCTTCACAATTTCACAACTCTTCAATTTTCGTTGGAGATCATGAACTTTTAAGCAGTATAAGCTCATTTTTCATCTTTCTTCACGAATCTTCCTTTAATCCGCCCCATCGCCAGCTGGGAATCACTAAAAATTTTGATGTTTTCAAGTTCAAGATTAATGGTAAGTTCCATAGCTATGATGACAGCTTCATATTCTGCTTCATTGTTGGTTGCCTCGAATTCTAACCTGAGTGCACACTGAATGTCCATGAGCATGTCCGGGCTTGTGACGATAACCCTTGCACCTGAGCCTGAGAAGTTTGATGCTCCATCCACAAAAATTTGCCAGACACCTGTTATAGAGCTCGACTCTCATCTGGCCCCCAAGGTCTTGGGGTGAGTTTTGCAATGAAATTCGTTAAGGTCTGGGCTTTGATAGACGAACGGGGTTTGAACTCTATGTCAAACTCTCCAAGTTCAATTGCCCACTTCAGTAACTTGCCTGAGACGTCTGGCTTTTGAAGGATGTATTTGAGAGGCTGATTAGTGAGCACCACAATGGGATGAAACTGAAAATATTGTCGAAGCTTTTGTGCTGCCACTATTAAGGCAAGGGCAAGCTGTTCTGCCAAAGTGTATCTTGTCTCTGCATCAAGTATGACTTTACTTACATAATAAATAGGTTGTTGGGCTCTGTTGACCTCTTTTATCAAGATGTCGCTCACTGCATTTTCAGACACGGCTAAATACAAAAACAAAGTATCCCCAGGTTTCGATTTAGTGAAGATCGGAGGAGATGCCAATGTCTGTTTGAGCTCCTGATAAGAGCATAAAATATGATATTTTTCCATCTTAATTGTTGCATTAATATGATTATTTGATGTCAAAATACACTCATTACTCTTATATTTTGATCTAGGTCGCAATTTGATGGAAAAAAAAAAAAAAAGTGAAATATGACCATAACATATTCACAAATCAATTCACAATTGAAAAAGTTACGTACTGATTTTTAGCCTCATGTTAAGACATATTTTTGACATGGAAAATGATTGAATTGGAAGGCAACTTCTGAAGCAAAGTTGTAGCCCTTCGAGTTAGCTGTCCAACGCAACTTGAATCACCTCAATCGGATATCGGAAAAAAATTTATGACCAAAATACTAAAAACTATCTGGCGGAAAAAATTTTGAACTATGAGGTCGCATAGTTCAAAAGCTATGCGACCGCATAGAAGGGTCCAGAGAACTTTTGGGCGCCACATTTTTTCTATGCGACCGCATGGCTTATAACCATGCGGTCGCATAGTTATCCTCTAAGACCAAATTTGCCAAATTTCTAAATTGACGTCATTACTTATGGAAACACGTTTTGACACGTTTCTTAAGCCCAAAAACACTCCAAAATGAGGGGAATTGAACTTGTACTCCATTCTTCTCTCATCTTTGGCCAATATACCCCATGGAAGGCTAAGAAAACTTTGGCGAAGCAAGGGATGAACTCGATTGGTGCCGGTGATGTCAATGTCTCTTCATGCATGTGATTTGGTTTTTCATTGATAAACAATTCTAGATTTATGATTTCCTGTTTATTGAATATGTTTGAAATTGGTTTAATATGTATTAGATTTTCATGGACTTAATAATGTTTTTTTCATTCAATAATTGAAGTATGTATTGAATCCCAATTTCAATCATCCCATTTATTATATGCTTGATGTATGTAATTGATTTTGAATCTAATTCCAATGAATTAAAGTGAGAATGTCTTGTATTGAAATCTAAATTCTAGAGTTATAAGTGAAATCCAATTGATTTAGGTCTCAACTTCAAGCATTGTTGTGAGATTGGTTTAACTTTTACTATATTTCTCGTAGACTCAATCATGTTTTGTCTATTGTGAAATTAACTATTTGTTGAATTTCAATTTCATACAATTTTATTGGTGATTTGGTTACTACATTATACTTGAGGTATATTGTCATTTCTCAAAGTGATTTGAATGAGTGATTTACATTGTTAATCCGAACCAATCGAGGGAATTTTTGCGCTTCATTATTTCGCACATTGAATCAAATTTCGTTACTTCAATCATTGATAGTTACATTCATTCAAACTGATAAATTCCTTATATAAAGCACGAAAAAAACCCTAAGCTTTTGATCCTTTAATAAATTTTCCATCTCCGTGTGGATACAACACCCCAAAACCATACTACAACTACCGCGTTATACTTTGGGCGTAATCAGCTCTTAAAAATCCTTCTCACACTCCTCATTCCATTCAAAGCAATGACTACCTCTGAAAGCTTTAAAGAAAAGGAAGCACAAGTCAGTTGCTCAGGACATGAACCCGTTTAAGGTTGCCACCCTACCTGTCAACTTTTGTACATCTTTCTTAGTCCTGGGCGATTCCATTGCTGCCAAGGCCTGGATCTTATCGGGGTTTGCTTCTACCCACCGGTGAGTTATCATGAAGCCCAAAAACTTTCCTAAAGCTTCATCGAATACACACTTCTCTGTGTTGAGCTGCAGCCGATATTTTCGTAAGGTGGCAAACCCTTCATCGAGGTCGGATATGTGCTACTCTATCTTCTTGCTCTTTACTACCATGTCGTCAACATAAGCCTCAATATTCTTCCTTATCAAACCAACGAAGACTTTGTTGATGAGCATCTGAGATGTTGCCCCAGCATTCTTCAACCCAAACGGCATAATTTTATAGCAGTATATAGCTAAATCAGCCATGAATGAAGTCTTCTCTTGGTCTTCCTTGGCTATGAGAATTTGATGATACCTCGAGAATGCATCTAGGAAGCTGTACAACTTATGTCCAGATGTGCTATCCACAAGATTATCTATCCTAGGGCGCAAGTAGCTGTCTTTAGGGCACGCTTTGTTAAGATCTGTAAAATCAATGCAGACCCTCCATTTACTATTGGCCTTCTTCACAAGAACAACATTAGTGAGCCAATCGGGGTATTGGACTTTCCTTATGAACCCCGCTCTCACCAGTTTGCCGACCTCTTCCTAAAAAACCAATCGCCTTTCTGGCACAAATTGCCTCTTCCTTTGCTTAACTGGTCTGGCACCTGGGCTTATGTTGAGTCTATGGACTGTTACTTCATGGTCTATCCCTAGCATATCCTCGACCTTCCATATAAAAACATCAATGCTGCGGGACAGAGAATTGATGACTTTCTCCCGGAGGCTGGCCTTGAGATCCCGACCAATTGTTACCATTTTTCCATGCTCGAGCTCGACCACCTCGAATTTCTCAACCGGGGCAAGTCTACCCCTAGGCTCGAGCTCGAGATTGAGGTTTGAAAGTTGCATAATGTCGGTACTTATTTCTTAGATGCTAGTAACATAGCACTGTCTGGCAGTTGCTTGGTCTACTCGAACTACTCCGATGCCATGACATGTTGGGAACTTCATGGCTGGGTGGAAAGTTGATACAATGGCTTGGATCTTGTTCAATAGGGGCCTTTCCAGGATCACGTTGTAAGCCATAGGAGTACTAACAACTTGAAAAGGAGTGATCTCCATCACTTGTGCATTGTCAGAACCCAATGTAAGCGAAAGCTCGACGATGCCTTCCCGGATAATGACCCCACCATCAAATCCCCGCAGAGGAGTTTTAACTACTTTGAACTGTTTGAGAGAGATCCCCATTTTAGTAAAAGCCTCATGTGAAAGTATATTTGTTGTACTACCATTATTAATCAGAACCCTCTTTACTTCAAAATTAGCCACAATTGCATAGACGACCAAAGCGTCGTCATGAGGATATGAAACTATTTCCAAATCCCTTGCCCCAAAAGTAATATCTTTGAGTTTATCGTGAGATTCCTTCGAGGTACGAGCATGTTGGCGGGCATATTGTTTTCGCCTACTACTTTTGTCTCCCCCAGATGCTATGCCTTCAATGATAATGTTAATGGTCCCGACGGTAGGTTGAGCACTGCTTCCGGCCCCAGGCTCTTTCCAATAATCACGGTTGTTCCTCGGAAGAAGTTTATCATGACCAATGTAATTTCTTAAAAATCCCCTTTTGATGAGGACCTCAATCTCCCGCCACAAGACTTGACAATCCTCTGTGGTATGCCCATGATCCCGATGGAATTCGCAATACTTGCTCCTGTCTCTTGTATCAAGGGACGATTTCATCCTTGAAGGTCACTTCAACTTTTCATATCCTTGATCTCCATTAAGATGTTTTCCTTCGAGGTGTTCAACCAGGTAAGGGGCCTTGGCGGCCCTTCATTCTTACGCTTATCCCAAGGATGTTCTAGCCGGAAGATGAGATCATGTTCCCTCCTGTTCTCAGCCTTTTCATGAGAAGGACTAGCTCTCCTTGGATTCAGCATTTCCTTCATATTAATGTATTTTTCAGCTCGGGTAAGGAGCTCAGTCACTGTCTGTGGCGGGGTCTTTGACAGGGTCATTTTGAAGGCTTCACACTTTATGGCACAGGTGAAGGCGAAAATTGCCGCTGTAATGTGAAGGTCTGGTATTTGGAGTCTTTCCTTGTTAAACCTCGTCATAAAACCTAGTACGGTTTCATTTGGTCCCTGGAGAGGTTGCATGAGAGGGCTCGCAATCTTTCTGATACGCTTGCTACTTGCAAAGAAGGTTGAGAACTTATCGGCCAAATCTGAGAATGAGGCTATAGAGTTGGGCTTCAATGTTGAAAACCAATCCCTAGCAGCATTAGTCAGTGTTTGCGGGAAAGCTTTGCACGTAACTTGGTCCGGCATAACTTGCAAGTTCGTGACATCGGTGTATACATTAAGATGGTTGATTGGGTTGGTCATCCCATCATACTCTTTGATACAAGGATATTTAAATCTGTCGGCCAGGAGATATGACAATATCTTGCGTAAATGGAGTGTTAGGAGTAAAACCCATTGGCCCCTGAGCATTCTGTTGCAAGCCAGCTGTAATCTCTCCCCTGAATGTTCCGAACAATCTCACCAAAATCCATAGCAACCGATCTCGAGCCCGAGGCTATATTACGAGCACCCGAGGTCCCTACTCCTCCTTCACTAGTTTCAGGTTTTGGTGCTCGAGCTCGAGCATCAGTCATAAAACCACCATGTTCTGCCTCTACCGATGACGGTTGCGAATTTCTTTGACTTAACAGCTGAGTTAGCGTGGCTACCTGCTGACAAAGCTCTTTGAAGGCTCCAACTATTACGACTGTTGGCTGGGGTGCGGGTACTCCTGACAATTCTTCTTAAGGAGTCAGTTGATCTTCAGTAGGATGATGGTTGGGAGCGGATAAGCTTGCCGAAAGAAGACCTAATCACGTGTTAACTATGGCTTTTGGTAGCGTTTTCCACTGACGGCACCAATGATGCTACCAAAAATCGTACCTGATGATTTTCCAAACTGGAGGATCCTGAATGAGCACGATCGTAGTCTTTCGGTACCTAAAACAAAGGCAACGAGATATGTTCTCGCCGCCCCTCCGATGCTCAAGTCAGAAAGGGAATTATATGCGTAGGCTATAAACTGGAAAAATAATAAAAACATATCTGAATAATGTCCAAGGTTGGTATTTATAGTGGTAGTAGTACATTCCTGATAGAATTGGAATGGGGTGGATGTTCTTATCCGATAGAGTCTTGTTTGTGAGGAATCTCCTACTCGTAATGGAACTGTTTGACTAGTGGTGTTAGAGTTGATATAGAGTCATTTGGAGTTTATGTGTATGTTGGTTGGGCAAATACATCTCGAGGATCTCTTAATGAACAATGACCCGAGGACAGTAAGAGGTGAGTTTCATGGTCATATAAGCAAAGTCCTCAGGATAAGATCCTCGAGGGCAAACATATCTCGAGGACATCTTGGTAGAAAAGTGAGGCTAAGCGTGTAAGGAGTCCTCGAGGAAAATAGTCACCAAGTATGCAATATTGGTATTCTCAGAGGGTGTTTGGTGGGATTAAAATTAGATTTTTTTAGTAGATCATGATATAAGTTTTTGAAATGTTTGGTTGAAAAGTTATGAGACCTATGAAAGTTGTGGTTAATATTGATTGTTTTACTTTAACTTAAATTAAAATTAGATTTTAATTCAAACCAAGCAGGCAATTAGACGTTTATCTTTCTATAGCTTCATTTTCTTAACTTTTTTTTTTTAAGAAGTATTTACACGAAATTATCCTCGTTATTTAAGTCCTCGTTTGGCCCCCATTATTTGGATTTATAATGGGAGGAATAATATTTTTTTGAAAAATTGCAAGTTGTAAAAGAATGAAAAAATTTCAATTTGCTTAAAATATTATTTTATTGAAGATTGTGTGGTTGAAAATAGGAGAAAAAAATTAGGGTTTGTTTGAGTCACATCATTTTCAAAAAAATACATTCTTCAATAATGATTTGACATCATTTTAACCACACATCCTTTAATAAAATAATATTTGATAAGTATAGTTTCTATACTTATTTGGGATCTTAAATGATGATATTTTGTTATTCTTTGAATGAATTAGTACCTAATTTGTTATTGATTGATTTTATTAGGAAAAGTTCATGTTTCAAAGAAGAATTGGAAAAAAGAACGGAAAATGGCTAAATGAAGCAAATCCAAAGTATAGGGACCAAAGTGTAAATATTTAATGGTTGATTAGGACCACAAAAGATACTTTGAAGATTGATAGGAGTCAATTGAATGCAAATTGGAGTAAAAAAGGAAAGGGGATATGATTATAATATTACCATAAATCGACTTCCAATCATATAGGATATCTTCAAGATTTTTGATCAACTTGAGACCCATTTTTCGGATGGAGAAAGTTTGAATTGGAAAAATTGTATCTCTAGAAGAATTGTAGATATTTTAATTAGATTTCCAATGTACTTTGAATCACCTGAATCGGACACCAAAAGAGAAAGTTATGATCGGAATACTAAAGATTGTGCAGAGACAAAATTATATGCGCACGAAGGCAACTTTCCTTATTTGATTCAAACTCTTTTGGAAGACAGTTCGGACGTGAATTTTGACTTAATTTCATCATATAAATACAAGACATGGGCAGTAATGAAATGGTTTCTCTCTTGCCTTTTCGTACACAATAGTTTCATCAAATTCGTCAAGAACAAGGGGTTAATTGCTATATTTTGAGAGAGAAGATCAAGCCATAGCAAGGAATTGAAGTCCAATTACATCAAGTTTTGAAGAATTCAACTTTGGACGTGAAAATCAACATTTTTTGTATTCTTTCATGATCCGGGTGATTTTTTCTATTAATCTTCTTGTAATTTATATATTAATATGCTAGACTAGTTTTTCATTGTATTGGATGAATGATGAACCCTATCGTTTGTTTATTTTAATTCAAGACAATTAATTTAGTATTTCATGATTTTTTTCTTGATTGGTTTTGCATTCCCATTAAACTATTTAATTGCTTGATCACCAATTAGATAATAAGTTGTTTGTTGTAGTATATGAATACTCACAATAAGTCTAGAATGCGGTAAAATCAACACATGGACAATAGGTGTTAGGAATAAGATCTATGGCATGTGCAATCATGTGTGATAAATCCTGTAAATCAATGCATGTTTTTCATATGAATTCGGACTAGGAATAGGATCGGATCGTGTTAAACATATGTTTAATATATCTTGGGAAATAATATTGAATAAAAGTGGATTATCGATTGTTTTGAATGCATGAATTTACTAGATTATAAATTAAGAGTTGAATTAAATGGTAATAGGGGAATTCACGATTCCAATACAAATATTCACATATTAAATAAATATTTTATTTGTTTTCTTAGTTTAAGATTAGCATAGAAAACATACGAGTCACAACTTTTTTGATTTTATATTACTTCGAATTTAGTAAAAGCTACTTAACTAAATATTAGACCTTATTTCTCATGGGAACGAAACTCTTAACTCATAAATCTTATTAATTGTACAACGATCCCGTACGCTTGTGGGTTTCTACGAACAATATTACACACAAATTTAAAATTTTTCTTATTTTTTAACCACATATTTTCTATTGATTTAACATGAATAATGTATTTTTTCCTAGAATGTGGCTCAAACTAGATAGTTCCCGCGGATGATGTGGTTATTCCTGAAATAGTTGTTTCTGATCGTGATGTCGCTGTTACGCGCAGAATTCCGTCGATAGTTGAAGACAATGAGAATATAAACGAGTTTACAAATGAGAATTTGATTGCTTTATCCCGACAGAGACACGAGCCGGGTGGGTGTTCACAGGTTGGAACAAGTGGATCGTCCTCCAATTCTTCCCGTGTGGCTCCTGATGATGAGGACTTGCAGGTTAAGCAACTGTTTGAAACCAAGAAAGATTTGCAGGAAGCTGTGCACCGGATGGCATTAAAATATAACTTTTGAGTTCAAGGTAAAGAAATCAAACAAGTCATTGTTGACAGTTGCCTGCGTCGAAGATAGTTGCAATTGGCGCTTGAGAGCAACTAAGATGGATACGAATGAGTGCTTCGTAATTCGCAAGTATTCACGGGAACATACTTGTGAAGTGGGAATTCTTCGAAACGATCACAGGCAAGCTCGATCATGGTTTATTGGTCGACAGATAATGCACAAGTATCAGGATCCTCGGACGATTTACAGACCTTCGGACATCATTAACGACGTCCTTCCAAAGTACGGAGTGGTCATGAGCTACCAGAAAGCGTGGAAGGACAAAGAATGTGTTTTGGAGGATTTAATGGGATCGGCTGAAAAGAGTTACGCTAAATTGGCTAGGTATTGCCATAACATGGGGACAACTAATCCTGGCACGACATTTTTTATTGAGACGAGGGGCAATTATTATTTTAAATATTTCTTCATGACTCTCGAACAATGTATTTGGGGTTTTCAAAATGCAATGTGACCCATAATTCTAGTTGATGGTACAACTTTGAAAGTTAAATATCAAGGCAAATTAATTATTGCTACATGTCAAGATGCCAACATCCAAATTTACCCTATTGCATTCGACATAGTCGACAGCGAGAATGATCTGTCTATGCGTTAGTTCTTTTCTAAACCGAGGGAAGTGATCGGGGAAGTCGAAGACCTTGCCTTTGTAACCGATCGGAGACAGTTTATAATAAACGGTATTGCTGAAATTTTTCCCGGGGCACATCACGGGTATTGCATGTACTATATACAAGATAATTTGAAGACTAGGTATCGGGGCACAGGCATCGTTTCATTGTTCAGGAGAGCAGCCGAAGCTTATAGTGCTGAAGAGTGTAATAAGTTCATGCTCGAGATAGGAAGTAAATCATTACCGGCATTGGAGTATCTGACAAAGATGGGGATCGAACATTGGGCACGATGATACTTTTCAGGACGTCAATACAATATGATGACATTGAATAACGCGGAGTCTCTCAATGCATTGTTTAAAAAGGATCGAGAGTTACCAATTCTCGCAATGATTGAGAACATTCGTAGCAAGTTACAACAGTGGTTTCATGACCGACGTGCGACATTACAGAGTTGCAGTAGTGTGTTGGCCCCAGTTCAAGAGGAGAAACTGTTTAAGGCGACAGAGGTTGCGAGGAAGTTGAATGTGGAAGCACTAGATGAGTTTCGCTTCTCCGTGCAATGTGCATGTAATACGGTATATATGGTGGACTTAACTGATAACACATGCAATTGTACGAGATTTCAGTTGGAGAGTTTTCCATGTGAGCGTGCAGTTGCGGTGGCCATGTATCGAGGCTTTGCAGCGAGAACGTTATGCTCTTTGTAT